TTCACTAGTGTTTATCGAGTGCCAACTGTGTGACAGATCCTGTTCATTAAACGTTCTGGGATACAGCGGTGAAGTGTTGGAGTCACTGCCCTCACTGAGCTAATCTTTTCCTGGAGGGACTCGGACAAGAAATACAGTCGTTACTGGGAGTATGGGATGGTCTTTGGGGTGGAGTCAGCTACTTTCGGTTGTCTGGACAGGGTCGTGAGGGGTGGCGACTTTGGTGCCAAGGCCTTTATAACAAACAGCTAGCCATGCAAAATTGTGGGAGAAGAGTGTTTCAGGCAGAAAGAACAGGAAGTGTGAAGACCCTGAGGGAGGAGTAAGTTCGGTGTTTTTAGATAGAGGATGTGTCTAGGATGTAATGAAAAAGAAGGAAAATGAGAGAAGGTGAAGGTGCAGATGTAGGCAAGGGCCGTATCACATGCAGCTTCATAGTTCATGGTAAGAAGTTGGATTTTATTGTCATTGGGACGTTGTAAGACATTTACTAGTGACTCATGGATTTTTTAGTGTCACAAATATAACCCTTTATAGTCCTTTAATAGCTTTCAGTTACAGTATACCATGAATAGCAAGTAAAGGAAATAAAAGTCATCTGACATTACTCAGATTCAAAGTAGCTTTGTTTTGCTTTGCTTTTTTCTTTTCCTTTCTTTTCTTTTCCTGTTGCCTTAAGAAATAGTGTACTTTCTCAAGTGGGAATATCTGCAGCTATCAATTTTGTCAAGCAACAGTGGAAGGAAAAATAACAATAATAATAATTGCTATGGTTTACAGAGGGCATGGGACAAACCCTATGCCTTATTGTATTTAATCCTGGCAAAATTTTATATTCTTTTCCTCATTGTTTTATTGAGGAGGAAACAGGCTAAGAGTGGTTAAGGAATGTCTTGAAGATCTCACAGCTAAGTGGCACAGGAGTCAGGATTTGAAGCAGAGATGTCCGACTTCCAAGCCTGTCCTTTACAATTTGGCTATACATGACATGAGGCTTGCCTTTGGTTCTCACTTTATGTATAGGTCTGTGTTTACTTTTGATTACTAGAGTGGCCTCAGCCAGATATTATCTTCTTAAGGGAATCCTGTTTTATCTTTGGCTATGCTCTGTTGTTTGTGATTGTGATAGGAATAACTTTAATAAGGTGAGGTAGATGGACCTGTTAATGTATAAATACTAATTCATGTTATTCACTGAATGGGGGAAGCTGGAAGTCCTGTAGGTGCCTGAGATGGTGGTGTCTTAGTATGAAGTCCCTTGATGTCAGATGGGGCGAACGTAGAGTTATGTGCACCTTGTGAAGTTCTAAGTGATAGCTCTGCCCTGTCTCCTCCCTCTAGGAAACATAGGAATGCAAGTGGTCAAAAGTGATGCTGTGATAAAACTGATTTCTTTATTTAAAAACAAAAAAAAATCACAAAATGGAGTGCATATTACTAATAACAGTTTCTTGGTGACACACCCCCAGCTGTCACCCTCCCCTTGTTGCCCAGAGATTTGCTTTTGCCAGTGGTGTGAGGTCGTGAAGCCTTGAACAACTGAGTCATGCTAACTAAAATTCAAGGGAGACTGAGGATAGACAGAATGCCAGCTTATTGCCCTACAGGCAGAAATATCACTCACCATACTCTGGGTTGGCTCTGTCAGTGGATCCTGTCTCTGCAGTCCAGCTTCAGGAGGTGCTGCATATAAACAGGAGCTGTCTTCATGAGTTACACAATAAGTCACAGTCATGGGCTCTCACATTCTGGAGGGCTGCACCGTCCCATTCTGGAGGGGGGTAGATTGCTTGGGAATCAGATTTCTTGTTTAGCAAGAAGTCAGAATAAGAATTAAATGAGTGGAATGTATGATGGCTTTGGGTGGAGGCAGCCTGATGCATTTGTCACCATATTTGGCATCTTTCATCAGTGGAACTTGAACATACTTGGTTAATGTTCCTCTTTTCTGGACAGTGTAGGTTTAGGCATTGTCACTGTTTGCCTCTGTGGCACTTCTCTTCTGGGACTCCTTGGCTGCCCCCTGTGGTCCCCCTTCTCTGTATTCTGTCTTTGATATGAGTCTGGTCCTGCTGGTCCTCCTGCTCTCCTCATTCGGGTGACATTGTGGCTGTGGCCATTATATGTTGCTCTTCCATTTTCTAACTCCCAGGGGCATTCTTTGTCCCTCACTGGCACTGGAGCTCCCAGGCATTTCAGTAGGAATAGTTAAAGAGTTTTTCTATGTTTGAAAAGGCATGGTTGATGCTCGAGGATTCAACTACTTTATCATTTTGTTTTGGAACTGTTAGCTTGGTTGCTAAGGGGTGGAACTTGGCAGAGCTAAAGACTTAACCCACAACCTGTGTTGAACACTACTCTGAGTGGGGAGACAGGCACGGAATGATAGTTTCTGCTTTCAAGGATCTTACCATGTCATGGAGAAGACAGACGTGCACAGTTGCAGCGTGACGTGCTGCGGTAGAGGCAAATGTGAGGTATAGAGATGGCAGAATGGAGTGGACAAGGTACTTTATCTGAGGGGTCAGCAGAGACTTCAGAGGCAGTGCCAGATGTAGACATGGAAGGACAGTGGGGATTTAGTTAGCAGTCAGGGTGAAGAAGGGCATTTTTACTGAGGGGCTGGCTTTTACAGTCACAGATGCATGAAAAGCTTTCATCTGACACACAGGGCATTGAAGGCATTGTAGGAACACATGGTGATTTAGTCATCATCACCCCAACCCCCACAACGCAGAAGCAAAGACATTTCAAAGCAAAATACAAAAGTCTTCTTTCTAAGGAATTTTTCAGGATGACTAGTACATACAGTGTACCAACATTCAGTGACACAGTGAATTCCACATTCCACCGTATTTGCTCCTGCACGTCTGTTTGTAGTTCATCTGTCCCTGAAGTGGCAAGCTTGTGATGAGAAGGCCACCTTGACCATCATTTTGCTGATGTGCCCGTCTTTGATTTGTGGACATCTCCAGTATCATGTCCTGGCTTAGCTGAATTAGCTCCAGCTGTTCCTTGGATTGTCTGGGATTGCAGTTGAGGTGCAGGCTTGGTGGGCATTACAGTGGCTTTCCATGGAAGTGGGATCTGTGAAATGATGATTGTAAGAGGGGTTTATGGAATGTGCAAGGGCAGGGGGTATGGCTCAAATCCCTGCCCAGGCTCCAGGGGCTATTCTTCCACCTACCTGCCTGGAAAATCTCTCCAGAAGTGAAAGATGTGACCGATAATTGTAGAGACAAAGATGAGATTGAGAACTCACCCACAGGGTTATTTTTTGGCCATCCTCAGTAACTACCTTCATTTCTGTGATTCAGAGATTTTCATCTTCAAATATTTATATGTGCTAGGCACCATGAGTCAGACTGGCACCCAGAATCCTTTGTTTATGAAAGGTTTTTGATTAGCTACATTAGATTTATAGTTACTAATGTTTTCACACATTTCTGTAAACAGTACTTTCTAGTTACAAACCCTTAATGCGAGTTCTACACCAATAGCATACAAAACCTTTTTATAGCCTTAACAGCACTATTATTAACTCATACTGTCTCTGGTATGTAGGGTGCAAGGCAGCAGAGAGGAATACATAGATTGTTACAGCTCTGAGAAAATACTCATAGGTCCACACAGGAAGACTCTCCTATACTAAACATTGAGTGCTTTGGTAGACTGAGTTATGCCCACCAGCAGTGGGTGCCCTCTGTCATGGGTGACCAGTGGTAGAGGTCAGGTAGAGTACGTGCCCCTGGAATAACAGACATACCGTATGTCCTGCTGCTGGGTCAGCATCATACCTCCTGTGAGCACCACCCACTTTGGCTTCGTATCTGTAATATCTGCATGGGATTTGTAAGGTAGAAATGAAAGTTATGTAATTTTTTATCAAGAAACATGTTAAACACAGAACAGAACATAGGGTGGTATAAACTTATTTTAAAATTAAATGCCAACATTTTTGCAGAATGAATAGAAGCTTATACTAGTATTTTATCTTTTGATAAGGAAATGAGTTAATAATGTCATCTGTACACTTCAGAGTTGATAATTAATTGCCAAACTTTGGGCAAAGTTTTGCTCCCTTAAACTTAGCCTAACAGGATGGGGGTTATAAGATAGCTGATCCTGCTGGCAATGAAATTGAGAATGGTCACCTGCTGTGAGATGCTTTCTCTGCCCTCCCCCTATTCCAAGTTAGCTGCCTTTCCATGTCTCCTGTGCCTCATATACAGTTACCTTGTCATGGAAATTGCCTATTTAATTTTTGCCCCCTATAGCTGAGCTGTCCAACTTGCAAGAGTGGGGCTGCCTGGTAGGAGCTATGGCCTTGGGCACGGTCCTTCCAGGTGTCCTAGGAGGGGAACTTGTCCTGTGAGTACTTAGGCCTGCCTGTCTGATACAGAAGCCACTGGCCACATGTGGCTATTTAAATTTCAGTTAATTAAATTTAAATAAAATTTAAAACTCACTTTCTCAGTTGCCCTTTGTGACAACTGCAGATTGCAGAGAGGAGCTTCTTCATCCTGGTGGAATGTTCTTTGACCAACACCAACACAGATATTAAGCACCTTCAGGAAGAGGCCCATGTGAGGCTGGATCAGCATTTTTTTTTTTTATCCTTTTTGTCATTTTTCGTGACTGTCAACGGATCGCAACCCTCAGTGTCACGCCTGTACCGGACCGGGACCGGCAACGGGATCGCAACCCTTGGTGTTGCTCCCGCACCTTGCTCAGCCAGTGAGCGGCCGGTCTGTATGTGGGATCCGAACCCTCGGCGGGAGCGCCACCGCACTCCCAAGCGGCGCACTGTAGCAGTGCGCCACCGGGCCGGCCCCTGGATCAGCATTTTATCCTCAAAACCTAGGATGTTGTAGGTGCTCAAGGATTATTTGTTTCCTATACAAATGTAAATTGGGGATCAAATGTTAATTTTGTAATTGTTACTTGAAATCTGACAAATGAGGTTTTCTAATATGTTTTTTGTCTCTGTCTCCTGTCAGGTGTCGTGATATTAGTTGGTTTGGCTTCAAGCCATTTGTGAGTCTTTAAATCTTCCCCTGAAAATGGAAAACACAGAGGGGTCCCTCCCAGGAGCTCCTGGCTGTTGCTGATGGCAGAAACGGAACCTGCCCGTGGTTCACTGGTATCCTCTGTGTCAGCTCAGCCTGTGTTGTCCTGACCATGGATGGTGTGTCAGCTGAACAGGCTGGCCTCCTGGAGGACAGGTCCAGTAGTGGCACCTCAGCTCGCCTGGAGGCCCTCCGGAAGCCTCCGGGCTCGCTGGCACCACCTGACCATCCGGACAAAGCCCAGCGTAAGTTGCCAGGTTATTCTGTGCCCCGCTGACATTTTGCCTCTTAATGGGAGGATGTGGTCACTTGTGGTTTGGAGGAGGACTGTGATGTTGAGACCATACATGAAGTTTTCATTAACTCAGAGTGTGTTTTAGTAATCAAATGAGTGTTTTTTCTCAGTTGGTGCTAACTTTAGATCAGGCACTATTTGTGTTAAACAGAATAGGAACCACCTTATTGTGCTTTGTGGGACAGTAGCAGTGGTGTTTCCATGAAGGCTTCTATGGGTCTTTGCTGATATGTTATTGTCCCCTTCCTGAAATTCTAACTTTACGGTTGGTTAGTTGCCAAAGTTTTAATAATTGGAACCCAGACATGGTATAGTAGAGACTTAAGGATGATTGAATCATACTTTTATGTTAGCTGCTGGGTTACTCATGTATCAGAAGTAAAGGGTGAACTGGGCTGGCCGGTTAGCTGAGTTGGTTAGAGTATGGTGCTGATAACACCAAGGTCCAGGGTTTGATCCCTGTACCAGCCAGATGCCAACAAGACAAGACAAAAGTAAAGGGTGAATTACTCAGTTCTTTTTTGTTTGTTTACTTTTGTTTTCTTTTTTTTCTGGTGGCTGGCCAGTATGGGGATCTGAACCCGTGACCTTGTTGTTATAAGGCTGTGCTCTAACCAACTGAGCTAAGCAGCCAGCCTTTATTCACTCAGTTCTCATGCCCCTTCTGGGTCAGGAGGTATGAGTGCAGTATGTACTTTAAAATTGTAGATTATATATGTACTAATTTACTAGCAGAAATTGTAATCTGATTCTTGTAAAATGATGTTCAAGCACCTAAGATGGCATTGCTGATTTTTGCTACATAAATGTCAGGTGAGGCAGGTAACAATGTACCAGGCCTATGACCATGGATTCTGAATTGGACAGACATGGACCCACCTCTTAGATCCGCCACTCAAGAGTAATGTGCCCTCGAGCGAGATACCTAATTCATCCCAGCCTCTTTCTTACGAAGCGGAAGATTGATGGTACCCTACATCACAGGGTGCTTATGAGGGTTGGAAGATGTGATGCACATAAAATGCCAAGCATCCAGAACATCCAGGAATGGTGGCTGGTTTGTCATCCTGTCATCATCGTTATTTGTTTATCCATAATTAGGCTTGTATTTGGAAACAATAAAATCTTACTATGTACTGGGCCTTTTTATTTTTAGATTCTTTTTAAAATGCAGTATGATGCTCCAAAAAAATCACTTTGTTATGTAAGCAGGAAGGTTTAGAGACTCTCCCAGACCTATAAACCCATCAGAAAGTGGTATTAACCCAATTAACTTTTATCTGAAATGCAGGATTTCCCTCTCCCCCCAACAGTGGAGATGAAGGGTATCATTTGTCTCAGGGCATGGATGGGGTCTCTTTGCTCTGCTTCCTGTTTGTGGCACCCCTGTTTGTATTCTTGTTTTCCTTTTAGGGAGGCACGACAGTAAGTAGCTGTATTTCTTGGGACTCATATTTGCAAGTGAAAGAAACCCTTGAGCAAAAAGGGGATTTCCTGGATGCATTCTGGGTGTGTTGTGGGATGTAAGTGTTGCTGGTCCCTGTGAGAGGTTGGGGCACAGCTGGGCCTTGGCAACCAGCAGATCCAGTGCCTGGAGCCCCTAAGGACCCTCCCACCCTCCCCACACCGTGGGGTTCTTTGACTGCTGACTAGCTCCCTTGCCAGGGTGGAGCCCATTCAGGGAAAGGACTGAAAGTCCCTAATTATAAGAAGCCTTTCTTCCTTTTTTCCTTCTTTTTTTTTTTTTTTTTTTTTTTTTTTT